CGTTTTTTTTTCCAAATTATCAAATAAGCAGTTTAGGTTAGTCCATTACCTTCTGTAAAGCTGTTCGTTTATTTAAACTAATGAGAAAAAAGATCGTATTTTAATTTTAAAACATATTTGATTGTATTCTTAACAATCTTATCATTGGTCTCAAAATGTAATTCAATCTTGAATATCTTTTAAACATCATATACTTATGATTTTTTTTATTCTCCCCTATATTTTTCATCCTTCTTTCCTTTCCTCTTTAAAATTTTTCCAGTGAGAAATAATCACATCGATAAGAATTTCTCATCATCAAATTTTTCCTTTCTATAATATTCAAAAAAATTTTGAAATAGAACAAATTATTTGTTAAATTTTCGTTTTTCACCAAACTATTCATCCAAAATAATTTTATATGATAGAATGAAATGGAAAAAATTCCATTTGCAATATGAATCTAACCATTTTTTTTTAAAAAATTGCAAATGAAACTTTAAATTTTTTTTTGAAAAATAAAAAAATTCAAGAAAAAGTATTAAGCTAATATTAATGCTATTTTCATATTTTTGTAATATCAATCTACACGGTTGCTTTCAAATGTTTAACAAAACTTTTTCAAAATTTGAAAGAAAAAATTGGACTATAATTTCTTTCCTTTTTTTTTCATATATCTCTCATATAATTTATTAACTTTCATAATTAATTAATGAATCTGTATACCATCGAAAATATAAATTCTTCTTTTTTTTGCCCATCCATTATGCGTATGCTCGTTTTCATTTTCAACTGTGTAAAATTTCAAAAGGTTTCGTTCAATAATCATTAAAGAAGTGTAAAAACAAAAAAAAAAAAGGAAAAAGTTGAATTATCTTAGAAAAAGAATTCTCGTTTTGTTTATATTATTTACAAAATGAAAGTATACAAAGATATGGCTAAATGAAAAGAAAACTTAATAGGATTGATTGCTAAATGAATATTGAAAATGATTACTAAAATACTTTTTTTTTTACTTTAAATTTGACAAAATTAAATTTGGTTATTATAGCAAAGAGAATAAGACTGCCAAGCTATATGTTGACTATTGTACATTTATTTTCAGATATTGCCAAAAGTGAAGGTAAAATTAGCAAGAAAAAGTTGACCTAAAGTTTTTTTATTTGAGAGTAAAAAATTTAAAAACACATTTTTGAATTTAAATCTTGAAGTATGAAAAGTTATATATGCTATAGCGCTTTTATTTATGTTAAAAAATATCTTAAAGAAATTCTAAAATTTACGTTTTGAAATATGAATTTTCTAAAAAATAAAGCAAATTATCATTTTCATATAATTTCGATAAAGTTTCATCAATTCATGCAAATTTGGTTTTTTTTTCATTCAAAAAATTCATTTAATTGAAATTTTAATGAATATGATGAAAACAGAAAAGGGCGGAAAATTTTTATTGATTTAAAGTAAAATAATATGAAATTAGAATGTATTACTATGTTTACTAAAAAAAAAAAAAATCAGTCAAATTTCGTCCAATTAAATTTTCCAGCAAAAATTAATTATATCAATCATCTATTAAATCCCTCATTACCTATACAATTTGATAAAAGTATTTCATATTTGATTTGTTTCTATATTTAACCAGTTTTTAGTTTTAATATTGATAAAACGATATGTTTGATTGCATAATATTTTCAGCTAAGCATTCGTAAACTGTTCGAAAAAATTATATTCATACTAAAATTTTGTTAAGTTAATTTTTGTGTAATTGAAAAAAAAAAGACTTTTAAAAGGATAAATGATTAAAATAACTGAAATAAAAAGAATTATACCTGCATGGAATGAGCAGAATTGAGTTCAATCCTTCGAATTCGATAATCTAATTGATTGATCCTTAGATGTTGAAGCATCAAACAACCCGCAATACATAATAGTACAAAGGCAGCAGCAACTTTCAATAAAATATTAATCGAATTTCGATCAATTTGTAAATAATGATAGTTTGACGCAAAAAAGGGACCATTAGCATTTTGTTTCACTTTTTCCTGTTCGATATTATCATCACTATTATCATTATCGTTGTCATCATCATTATTATCATCATTATCATTATTATTTCCATTATCGTGATACTGAATATTTGGCTTACGAATCATACGATTCGGTTGCATGTTTACGGTTGAAATTGGTACGTAGAAATTAGCAGAAATTGAAGAGGACGAGCTCGGAAGTAACGTCATACGACATCGTTCATTATTGGAACAATTATCGTCTGCTATTTGCATGTTGACATTTAGCCGAATCTAACATAACAAACACGTTAAATGTAATATATTACGTGTACAATCGTGAAATGTAACGTATGATGTGAAATGAACTTGTTTAAATTTCCGAAATATCACCAAATACATTAATTATCATTTTGATAAATGATATGATGTGAATATTATTCATTGCAATAAGAATTAGTAGAGGATAGCTGACATGAAAAATTTAAAGCTCGCATTAATTAAATCTTAAAGAGCTTTTAAAGAATTAAACATGAAACGAGTGCAAAAAAAAAGCATCAAAAAACTTTGCTGAAATAAATAAATGCTAAAAATCTTTAAGTGATATAAACGAATAAATCAACATCAATTCATGTTGAAAATTTTTTCACAGAAAAAAAAAACGAAAAAATTGTTTGTAATTAATTTTTCAAATGATAAAAAAAAAAAAATTCGTCGATGCATTTGTAAAATATTAGTGCCAATTGACTAACACAGACATTGCTCACACATCGGAGGAAAAAAAGAAGAAAATGTCAACAAATAAGCGGATTTTATACGTTATCAATCGAAAGTTATTTACGTATTAAAATAATGATTGGAATAAAATGAAAATTTTGACATTTTTTTTTTCTTTTCTCTTCTTTTTCTTCTTCATTTTTTCAATCTACAAACACAATCACGAAGTAAATCACATTAGGATGATGATGATAATGCTTTAAAAGCAAAGTTTACAAGTTTGAATTTCAATTGATTTTTGCTTCACATTTTGGAAGTGAAAATGGAATGGAAAAGAAGACGAAATGATACATTTAATATAACTTAACGTTATTAAGATTTTTTTCTTTTTTCTAAATGTGAAAAAATGTCAATGAGTACTTGATTTCTAATATCTTTTTTTTTGATTCCATTATATATATATCAATTATTTTTAAATGATAATGTATGTTACCTTATGAATTCATTTTTCCATTTCTGACAATAATCCGTTAATTTATATTTTAATTTAATTTAGAAAAAAAAAAGTAAACCATTGTCGATTTAACGGTTTTTCATCATCATATCCGTTGTTATTATAAATGAATTGAAGGGAAAAAAATTCTTTTAACATGTAAAAATTGCTCTGTAGTAAAATGCTGTACTGAATATTCTCAAATAATCATATCGAAATTTTCATTTATTTTTAGGTTAATCAAAAACAGTAATCAATTGTTGCGCTAATTGAATTAATCAAATAACTAATTATTTCATCACTTCCATACGTATAATACGTACAAATTGAAGACTTATGAAGTAATGAATGAAAATAAAAAATTCAATCGTTCATTCATTTTACTTTTTTCATTTACATAAATAATTTTTCTAGAAAGAAATCGTATTATTTAATTTCTTGCATAATACATTAGAAAAATGATAG